ACATCCATTTAAATCTTCTGAAATCATTCTTCAACTGCCAAGTCACCCCTTCCCCTTTCTACAACCATTTTATCACAGTTTTTGAATCTCCCTCGATGATCAATCTATTGATCCCCAACTCTTTAGCCTTCTCAACCCCATATACTGCAGCTACAAACTCTGCCCTTGTCACATCACCTACCTCCACCGGACCAGAGTACAAGGAAATGATGGAACCATTTTCGTCTCTAATGGCCCCCCCAATACCTGAAGGGTTACCCATAGTAGAAATCTGCTGAATTCAAAAATATGAATAGAAAAGGAAGTTTCTTGAAGAGAGAAGGAAGAGAGAAGGAGAAGAAGAGAAGAAGAGAAGAAGAGAAGAAGAGAAGAAGAGATCTTGAAAAGAAAAGAGAGCAATAATCTGGCCGCCCCCTTCACTTATTATTTATACTAAAAATAATAGAAAAGTATAAAGACAACTATGCCCTTATAGGGTGGCAAAACATAAAACTGCATATATAAGACTCAAAAACATTATAAAATTTGGACTCACATAACTACTGTGGTCCCCACCTCCTATTTAACAACTAACATAAAACATCTACTCAGAAAAACACCATAAAACTGATTAATCTTCAACACTCCCCCTCAAGTTGGGAGTAAATATCACACATTCCCAACTTGCGTAGATCATGTTCAAGCTTGTTCTTTGCCACCCCTTTAGTGAGAACATCAGCCAGCTGCAACTCTAAAGAGACATAAAGCAAACAGACTTCTCCGGTTGTTACCCTTTCTCTCATAAAGTGTCTATCAACTTCAATGTGTTTTGTCCTGTCATGCTGAATTGGACTATGGGCAATATTGATTGCAGACTGATTGTCACAATACAGCATCATAGGTTTCTCTGCTTTCACCCCGATCTCACTCAAAAGAGATCTAACCCAAATAAGTTCTGAGACACCATGAGCCATGGATCTATACTCAGCCTCAAGACTTGACCTTGCCACAACCGCTTGCTTCTTACTCTTCTAGGAGATCAAGTTTCCACCTACAAAGGTACACACTCTTGATGTAGACCTCCTGTCATCTAAGCATCTGCCCAGTCTGCATCTATATAAGATTTTAGTTTCAGATTGTCATGATTTGAGAAAAGAATGCCTCTACCAGGGTACTTTTTCAGATATGCAAGTATTCTCTCAATAGCTTCCTAGTGTTGAACCCGAGGTGCATGCATGTACTGACTCACAGCACTAATAGCATAAGAAATGTCTACTCGTGTCATGCACAAATATAGTAGTTGGCCACGATTCTTTGATATCTCCCCACATCTTTTACCAACTCACCATCAACACCATTAATTCTGTGATTTAGATCAATAGAAGTGTTTGTTGGTTTGGTCCTAGCTTCCCAGTCTCCCGCAAAAGCACAAGTACATACTTTCTCTGTGAGATGAAGATCCCATGCTTGGATTTTGCAACTTCAATCCCCAACAAGTATTTGAACTCACCAAGATCTTTGATCTCAAATTCTTGTTGCAATGATTTTTTGAGATCATCAATCTCCTCCAGATCATTTCCTGTAACCACTATATCATCCACATACACAATCAAAATTGACGCCAGAGCATCTCTCCTCTTTACAAAGAGGGTGTGATCAGACTAGGTTTGTGTGTATCCAAAACGGATAAGTGCCCCTCTGAACCTGTCAAACCAAGCCCTAGGTGACTGTTTCAGCCCATACAGAGATTTTCTGAGTTTGCACACCTTTCCTTTACCAACATTTTCATAAAAGCCTGTTGGAATGTCCATATATACCTCCTCCTGTAAATCACCATTAAGGAAAGCATTTTTGACATCAAGCAGAAACAAAGGCCATGAATAGGTGGCTGCCAGAGATAAAAGAATACGAACCGAACTCGTCTAAGCTACCGGTGCAAAGGTTTCTAGATAATCAACACCATAGGTCTGAGTATACCCTTTTGCTACCAACCTTGCCTTGTACCTCTCTATCTTGCCATCGGCCCTATACTTCAGTATGAATACCCATCTACATCCGACTATCTCCTTGTCTGGGGGAAGATCTACTATTTCCCAAGTTTGGTTTTTAACCAAGGCTTCCATCTCTTCTTGCATGGCTATTTTCCACTCAGGTTTGGAGAGRGCCTCAGTAACATTCCTGGGTATAGACACAGAATCCAGAAAAGAAAGGAAAACACGGTAGGAGGGTGATAAGGCATTGTAGGAAAGATGGTGTGAAATGCAATGGGTTGTACACTTTCTCTTCCCTTTACAAAGTGCAATGGGAAGATTAAGATCAGTGGGAATAGCTGCAACAATGGTGTTAGGTACAGGAATATTATCATTAGAAAACATAACAGGTACGGGCTCAAGAGGAATACTTGTAACTATATCTATTGAATTTGGAGTTTCAGAAGGACTGATAGGGAGTAGTGTGGGTTGAGGATGTGTGAAGTCAACCACCGCCTGTCGGTGCTGATATTTCTGTGAGGCTGCCCGTAGTGGCTCAGGTAATGAAACTGGCTAAACTGATGGAGGTGCTGGCTGAACTGATGATGGAACTGATGGAGGCACCAAAGAAACAGGAAGAGGAACAGATTGTAAGTTCTCCTCCCCAAGACTCTCCCGCAAGGAGAACCACTCGAGAAGAATAAGGTGGATTCAAAAAAGGTAACAC